GATTTAAGAGTTATCGATTTAAGCAAGAATGCATTCTTTCTGTCCACGTGGTGTCTCGAAAATTCTCGATTCTGTTCAATATTTGTATTTCGATTAACAGACGGTAAGAAAACTCGATAAATTGTGATAAAACTTTGCTAGTGAATTTACTACCAAGTTGTAGGAAGTTTTTAGCGTTTGCATCATGAAATTTTCAAACTTTCTAATTCGATGTATACGATCGAACAATTTATTATCGCAATTGTAAGTAATTATAAATAATGATACTATAAATAATTGATAGAGAGATGATGTTGATGTCGGATATACATTGTAAATAAGATTAGATAAAATTAATTTTTAACCTTTCTTTTTTTATTGTACAGATATTTTATACATACATATGCATTTGCTTTACACGTTTCTTTTCTTGTAACTATGTCAGTGAATGCTAACAATTGCATTATTACACTGGTATCAGCGATGGAGAGCTACGTAGAGTAAAATATTTTTTTAGTAGCAAATGCAATTATTTTAAAACAGAATCATATACGTCGAATATGCCAAGCGAGAAAATATTTCAAATATTCCTAAAAATGCGACGGTTTCTTTGCAACACCTTACAAAATCTCTGCAAATTATTGAACGCTCAATACTACATTATTCAATTGCTCGACACATAGAAAATTCCAGCCAGCTTCGCTAAAATACATTTTACAAAATATTGCTTCCGAGACAACATTTAGAATATCAGGTAACTCGCGAAATACAAGCTATTTAACTTTATTACGGCAAACAAAGTTACTTTAAGCACAATTATTGAACAAATATTGAAAATATTGAAAGTGATTTCGTACACTGTTCTCCTCACACAATATCAACGTTAATTAGCAGATTTTCAAATTAATTGACGAAAGTATTGCTTCTGTCTGTGAAGGCAGAAAAGATTGATGAAGAATAAATTCCTAACCTTTCTCGGTACGTAATAAAGTTAAACGGCTAATGGTTTTACAGCTAACGATTACAATTACAAAATTAATCAGAAGCATGATAAGTTTAATTAAAAGCAGCACCTTGCACATTTGAGGCTAATATAAAACCACAGTTATATCTATATAATTTTCAACTTGTTAATAGTTTTTTCAACGAGAGACACTCTAAAACCATTCATAAGAAAAATAGCGTATGTATTATCTGTTTTAACAGATTATTCTGCAAGAGGTACATTTACATACGTAAGATGAGAAACGTAGCGTATTTCGTTACAGAACAGTTATTACTTAATGTTTCATAATCCATAGCATTTATATTTGTTCGTGGGTATTTTTTGGGAGGTAATAATGTTACATTACATCCTTGCAAAACAAAACAAAAAAATTAGCATTAAAATTTAGTAGCAGTACTTTTGAATGAACCTGTAAGATACTTGCTTTCATAAGTTAAAAAAATAATTTTTTGAGAAGTATATATGTCACGTTAGTATTAATAAAACTATAAAATTAAAAAACAACAATACCATTTTAATATGAAAGGAACTTCTAAACTTCTTTAGTCTCGCGCATTTAGTTTTGCAAATGAGGTATATCTTGAACTTGATGAGTCGAGTGTCGTAAGAGATTCATGTTTCATATATATGATTAATGATAAATCTTGCAATATATATATATCAAACTTTTTTGAGGTAGGTCTTTAATAGATTTCTCTTCTTGACTCAAACACATTTTGCCTTAGCCCTAACATATTATTAACATTGCACATATATTATCTACAAAAATACTATTACACCATTACATACAAGCATCAATTAAAAAATAATTTAATGTACATCACAATCTGATAAGTACACTATTGAATATGAAGGAATGTTATTAACGTTGCTTTGATTCTAATAATACTTCCTTTTCAATAAACTGTTTATAACAGGCATTTTTTTTTTTTTTTTTTTTTTTTTTTTTTCAAACAATTCGTATGTTCATATGTTCACGTTAAAGAAATTTTTTTAAGTATTGCTAACGATCTCAACGAATGTGAAAAAAGTAAAGTACTAAATAATGTATGTGATATTGTGTTGAAAACTAAAGGGCAAAAAATTTCATGAAATTTCATCAATACATATCTTGTGAATATCTACAACACAAATAATAAAACCTTGATTTTATTCGTAATGTTAAACGGTCCAATAATTTTATATGAAATATCTTATTCGTCGTATCAAGGAGATGGATTTAACAAATAAACTTGGGTAATATTTCAAAAATGAACTTTTAAAAAATACTTTCAAAGATCGGGTTTTTCTTTCTTCTCGCCTTGAACATTGAAACCTACTGTCACGCTGGAGTTACCTGTCATACTGCTTGCTACAGTCAAGATTGGCTCTTTCGGTTTCATTTCTGAGCAAGAATCTTTTGATTCCATCATGCTCTGCTTCCAATTCTCCAAGTCCTCGTCCGACATATTTGAAAGTGAGCTTAACTTTGACGTGCACTTGTAACTGTAATTTGTTTCAAGCTTTTGCGTCGGGGTTTTTGGCATAGAAACACTCTGAGATCGAGAAAAACTCTTCCTTTTACAACTGCTGGAGAAATGAAGCTTCTTCTGTTCTTGCGCAATCTCAGTACCATCTTTGTTCTTTTGCATTCTTTCTGCATTGAAAGATTCGGTTTTCTGGAGGGCAGATGATTTTGTCTTGTCCACGTTATCTGTTTCTTTGATCCTGACATCTTCGTCTGATATTTCCATGCTTTCGACAAGGAATCTAGAAGAGAATGCAAAATAAAATGATCAATCACATTTTGAATACCTCAGAGCATAATGTGATTGATCTTTTTAACAAAGATTCACCTTCCAATTTTTTTGTAACTGCTGCTAGATTTTGTGCTTGGGTTTTCCTTCTGCTCAAATATTTGTTTCACATCCTGCTTCCTCTGCTCTTCAGTCTGTTTTAAAGTTATAGTATGATCCTCGTCGTCGTCCATGTTATCAGCAGGGAGGTCTTCATTGGTACGCATTATCTTTTGTATGTTGGAATTAAAACCAGCTCCGAAACCACAATTTCGTATTTGACCATCTTCGTTGCTATAGTAATCTGTATAGGATACGCTGCCGCGACCCTCTCTGTGTTCTTGGTCAATATTTATACAGAACTCGTTGAAGTCCACATCCAAACAGGGTGTCGTAGGAAACTTGGGACCCACATTAAAGGATTGCGTTCTACAAAAGATAAAAAAAAAAGATGTACCTTTTAAACACAGTATAATCTCTTTTATGGACCAGTTAGACATTATACATTACCCATCATTGCTGATTAGGCTTATAGACATGCTGCATTCTCCTGTTGAAGTTGGCGCAGGGGATGAAGGTTCAGAAGAAAGAAATGACTGCGGTTCACTGCTCCATCCAGTACCTAAATTGTGCATCAATACATTCATACATTAATAATATATATATATATATATATATATATATTTGTCGTCAATGCATGTAACTACATTAAAATTGGAGTAATGATATAACTAAGCAACACTTACTATTAGGACTGGTTGGTGATAGCTGGTTCCTTATATCACAAGGCTCTCCGTCATTCGAAGGTTTATACTGTATGGGTGTTGGTGTAATGTACCTAAGAAGGGGGACACCACTTTACAGAAAATATCTCTATGTAAAGTGCAATCATTGGAAAAATGCAATCGTTCCAGCTCAAAAGGAACAAGAAATAAAGTTAATGCTTTCAGCTAAATGGTAAATGAGAGAAAGGAAAGAAGAGAAGAGAAAACAAAACAAAAAGAAAAGAAAAGAACAGAACTTAATACTCACAAGGATGGTTTACTTAATTTCTTACGGTACCTGACAGCTTCCAAGTCGGAAGAGTGGTACTCGCGGCTGATTCCTCCGATACTGAGACTTTGATTGACCGATTCGTGGGTTGATCCAGCGGGAGAAGGGTACTTCGGCGGCGAGGAGGCGGGTGTTCGGAACAGAGGGGCGCTGGTCATCATTTCCAAGAAGGAATCCAACTGACGTAATGACAACGCGTTGTGAAGAGTTTCCAACGGCCTTATCGGCGGTACACCACCAAAGCCTTCTATCGCTGATGAGCATAACATTAAATTAGTTTCAGTTGCACATGCCGAAAGAATCCAAACGACCGAGAGACCATTGTATTCTATGGAATACGAAGGGGGGGGGGGGAAAGAAGAAGGAGAGACTCACCAGCAACAGCAGAAGCGTGCGGAGGTATCATGTCCTTGAGATTTGGCGCGCTGGAGGATCCACTGATAACAGCCGTGCTGAACAAACTATTCGCTGATCCGGTCAACTTCTTGTTGATATTGTAGCCCAACAGCTTGAAATAACTCATCTGTCCGGAGATACTGTGACGGTGGCGCCTTGCTGTGCAGGTAGGGTCAGGTTGAATGATCGAAGGTCGTGTGTCTGGAGATGAGAAGGATCGTTGAGGCTGGAGTCGGGACAACGGTTCACGTGGACTCTTGGAACGATGGTAACACTTGCGGAGGGTATCGTGATCATCGTGAACATCATTATCGTGCGCAGGGAGCATATGAGAAAGCGTACTACTACGATCTGGCGCGTGTACCAGGCTACCGTGCCACTGGAGATTCACATTGGGACAAGACCATCGTCTGTACATCACCGAACAATCGACAGTTCCGCCGTTTTCATTCGCAGAAACGGGATCATCCACGCGAGAGGAGAAGACGCCGGACAACAAATTCGGACAGGACAAGTTTCTGAATGGCACACGTGTGTCTCCAATTATATCACAGCTACTGGACTTCTCTCTCTCGAACCTCCACCACTTCTCTTCCTCTTTGCGATCGTGATCTGACCATGGCCGATGTACAACGATACAACGATCGAACCTCGATCCTAAACAGGGAACAACGACACTCTGTCCCTCGGGAAACGCGTGGAATCTATTCTTTGGCCGAAGCACGAAGGACGAGCCAGTCTGATCTAATCCGGCGATTCCTGCGTGACGCCCACGGTTATTGTTAAACGAATGACAACAAACACGAGTGGAGATTCCGTCCGGTTGCAGATTCGAGTAACAGGAACAATTGACAAACTTATGGGAGAGCGAGCGTGCGAAGTAGACGTCGAAGTTGAGACGCTCGACAGGCGGTAACTCTCTGCTCGTCAGGATCAACTCCGAGACGTTACAATTATAACAAAGGCATTTGGCCACGTAAGGTGACGACGAACGAGAACGTTCTCTCAGTTCGGTCTGTTCTACGAGTGTCATTACCTCTGCAGTTCTTTCGCACAGGGTTAATGAGAAGGGGGATCGACTTGGCAACCACGGCGGCTGTTTTGTCGAGGAATCGGTCAACTCACCGCTCCGCTCGATTCCAGGGAGTATCATCTCCGAACGAGAACGTCCGTATTTCTTACTCTGAAAAATCAGTGGATCGAAATCGTCGTCAGGCAGGTCGGGCTCGAGATCTACGTTAAAGAACGATGAGCGAATCGTGGGGACCGGGAACACGGCGCTCGTCGCGTCATCGTTCGGCGTCGTCCGGCTGTTCGGCGAGATCAGAGGAGACGTGTGCAAGGTCACCAAAGGTGTCGAACACAAGACGGAAGTTTCTGGCGAAGGAACCGGGAACTCCGGCGAACTGAACGAGTGTGGCAGACCCAATTTTTCCGTAGGCACGTTCAGCAATGCCTGGCCAGATCTCTCCAAGTGGCGTTGCTCTGTTACATGCTTTTCTGCGTGTCGGGGTGGGTGTACGTCGCATGCGAGTCATTTCGTAAACGACAGACAGAGAGAAAAAGAGAGAAAAAGTGGTGCAGTTAAAATGAACGTGTGGATAACGATGTAACGTTGGGATTCAGAGGGTGCAGAGGAGGGAAAGAAAAGAAAAGAAACAGACAATTAAACGAACCCATCACCGAAAAGAAATTAAAAAGAACATTGGCAAGAACCTTTGGTCACGTCGTCGACGCTTGAGAGACTAAAACTTGTTGAGAAATCGTCTTATTGTCACTATATAGCAAAGGGGATCTCATTGGAACTTATGCATAAATAACTGTACGACTGAGTGTAAAGTGCCAATGGCAAAAATTTTTAAAATGTCAATGAAATTACAAGGAACTTTTAGATTACTTCTTACTGTAATACAGTCCACTGTGGACTTGTATTACAGTCTGTAATACAAATAGAAATGCTAACATGTAGCTGGAGTTGAAGACGACGTTTTAAAGGAAAGATTCGTTACCAATGGAGGAATAAAGTAACTGAAATACATTGGAAAAAAAAAAAGACATATAGTTCAATTTACTTTATGCGTTTAGAAGACACAATTTTGGTTAATGTTATACACACCCATGGCACACGATAGCCATGCAACCAGTAAGCCAACCAAACAACAACAATTTAAGTTTATGAACATTTTGTTGACATTTGCCTAATGTGATCTTATGCAACAATGACAATCGAAGATTTAGTATTAGTTGCTTATGTTTCATACATAGAATTGGCAGTATGCGAAACGAGTAATTGATGAAATTTTTTATTGCCATTAGAAGTTAATTTGTTCGAGTAGGGAACATATGAAAGTTGAATTTCATCTGTGCTTAGAATTTCTAACATCAATGAGGCGGTAAAATAATATTTTAAAATAATTACAAAGAAGAAAGAAGAAGATAGTAAAAATTTTATTATGTTTAGAGAAACGAAGAGTTAAAATCAAATCAGAGATACTTCCTTTAAAAAAATTTCTACATTTGTATGAGAGAAAATATTATATATGTTCATTCATATAGAAATAATGAATCTATAATATATAATGTAATGTACAAACAGCAAACCAAATATAAAAGTGGATAATGAAAAACTAAAGTGTTATGCAATTGCATGTTGACAGATGTGTATATATATATATATATATATATATATATATATATA